CATTCTTTTACTTAGAAAACAATCTAATTAAAGCAATCAGTTTTCGTCCTGCAACGCTGCTTGCAAGCAGCTTTCCGCTATCGATTTCTCTGCTAAACTTATTTTCCTTCTTTATTAAATTTGTTAAGTTAAATTTTTTAATTAATTATAGTCTTTTTTCCTCCCTTGCTCCACTAATCACCACATATGTATATGTGCATGTATGTTTTTCCCTCCCTGAAGGAAAATGAAAATTATTCTGCTGATATCGAATTACATATGTAGCTGCTCTCGCTTGATGCAAGTGCTTGAACGGTTGTAATTAAAAGCATGAAATATCCAACTATAACTTCTTTGTATTGTATGTCTTTATGTTTTGCCTGTCAATAGATGGAATAGTTATAAATGCGCATGTTAATAATGAGCAGACGATAATATTTCTTTAGATGGATAAAGAAATAAAAAATGTATCGTCTGCGCAGCTTCGAACAATTTTTTTTCTTCTTGGACCTCATCATGGGCATTGTTTAAATTTACTAATTCTAAAGTCATCAATTAAAAACTACGGAATTTTCCTCTTATTTGTATCTGCTCTGTTTTCACTCCTGTCAATGTATTTGAAAAGAATTAAAAATAAGACATTACAGACAAAGAACAAATGAAAACGTTTCAATGCATTTTTTTTTAATTTATTAGAAATGTTCATTTTGCTTGCGCTGCACGTGACGACGTGCTGAGCAGTCCTTGTCTAGAATTGTCGCGCACTGACGTCTCGCCAGTGACAGAAATACTGTCGCTTTATTCGGGTCGTTTTCACACATTTGAGCCCCCCTTGTTATTTATCTTATCAATAATTATAATAAAATATTTTTGGAATCACGGATAAGTAGTTGAATTTAGGGATTTAAGGATCGTTTCCCCGAAAATATCGCCTGTGGTGTTTACACCCACTGCAACACTTTGAAAGGAATACATGGGGGGTTATCTTTAGGTTGATTTTTGGCATGATAATATATAGTCGAAAATCTCGCCAATATTAGGATTGAAAAATCATACCTTTCCTCTTTCATAAGGATTATCTGCGCATGCTCCATAAATCGAAACTGAAAAATAAAATAAGAACTAGATCGCTTTTATAGTGACTGATATTGATATCTATATGAACTTGTTTAATAAAAGTCACTGGTGAGTAACTAACAACGCATATCACATTATTATGTGTCTTAACATATCGTATATAATTCGATTATCAATCCGTTATTGTCGATCGTCGTTCGATTTCTTAGTGGAGATAATTTATTTTACGTGCTTAAAGAGAAGAAGGTAGGTTTTAATTTTTTGAACAAGACATTTTTAAATTAATGAAGAGAATTGGATACACTACCGATTGGACGTGTTTCCAACATTGAGTCGCGATGGCTCAGAGGATAGAGAGTTCGCCTTCCAATGAGGGGAACCAGGTTCGAATCCCAGCCATGACTGGTCGATACGAATCCGCATCCAACTTGCACCGACGACAGTGCTTACGTGAAATATCCACAGTGGTAGAGAGATCATGGGTTAGAGTCCCTTCTCCGTCAGGCTAACCGTGGGAGGTTCTCGTGGTCTTTCTCTCCATGTAACGCAAATGTTGGATAGTTCCATTTTTTCCGGATTTCTTTCAGAATGGATTTGCTAAAACAATCTTTCGGGATTGCAACTAAATTCCTGTCTTTTTTGATTTAAACATTTTGCATGTCAGTAAGTGTTTTGGGCATTTCTTTTTATATATAATTTATTTTTGAAGCTAATAATTTTTTCCAGGTTTCTTTCAGAATGGATTTGCTTAAACAATCTTTCGGGATTGCAACTAAATTCCTGTCTTTTTTTATTTAAATATTTTGCATGTCAGTAAGTGTTTTGGGCATTTTTTTAATATATAATTTATTTTTGAAGCCAATAATTTTTTCCGGATTTCTTTCAGAATGGATTTGCTAAAACAATCTTTCGGGATTGCAACTAAATTCCAGTCTTTTTTGATTTAAATATTTTGCATGTCAGTAAGTGTTTTGGGCATTTCTTTTTATATATAATTTATTTTTGAAGCTAATAATTTTTTCCAGGTTTCTTTCAGAATGGATTTGCTAAAACAATCTTTCGGGATTGCAACTAAATTCCTGTCTTTTTTGATTTAAATATTTTGCATGTCAGTAAGTGTTTTGGGTATTTTTTTTTATATATAATTTATTTTTGAAGCTAATAATTTTTTCCGGATTTCTTTCAGAATGGATTTGCTAAAACAATCTATCGGAATGGCAACTAAATTCCTGTATTTTATTTACTTAAATATTTTGCATGTTGGTAAGTGTTTTTTGCATTTTTTTTTTATCTAATTTATTTTTGAAGCTAATAATTTTTTTCAGAATGGATTTGCTAAGACAATCTATCGGGATTGCGACTAAATTCCTGTCTTTTTTTTTATTTAAATATTTTGCATGTCGGTAAGTGTTTTTGGCATTTATTTTATATAATTTGTTTTTGAAGCTAATATATATATATATATATATATATATATATTGGGGATTTCTTGTAAGTTGGATGCAGTAATACCTTAATCTATTGGGTGGACAACTAAATTCGTGTATTTTTTTTAAATTTTAACATTTCGCAAGTCAATTATTGATATTGGCATTTTTTTTATATAATTTATTTTTGAAGTTAATTATTTTTCCCGGATTTCTTTCAGATCGGATGTGCTGAAACCCTTAACATATCGCAACTAAATTCCTGTTTTTCATTATTATTATTATTAATAATCTTTTAATTTTATATGTTTCAATATTTATCTAAATTTGTCTAACTATGTTTTTTACTTCTAAATCTATGTTTCGGATTTTCTACTTTTTTTTATGTTTTGATGGAGTTAATTAATGTTAATTTTATCAAATTATTAAAATGGTACACCAAGGTGAGAAAAATTAGCATTTCGTCATCTTCTTCTTTATGATTTTAATCAAGGTTTTAAGAGCATAAAAGCTGCTCCAAGTGGCATTCATGCCATGTAGGGAGTTACGATCGATTTAAGGTTTATTTGAAGTTGTTTTAAGGTTGTTTGAAGTTTATTTGAAATGGACAAGTGAATTAAAAAAAAAACCTTAAAAATCAATCTCCTATCGTTTATTATCAATGTGTATGAAGTTGTTTTTATTCACATTTGAGGTTGTTTCTGAGGGGGGAGGCAGGTTATTTTTTCTACAACTCAAGCAAATAAACATATTTGAGGGGTGAAAAATTTCACCCATTTTTGACTAAAAGTATCAACCCATGAAAATATAAGGTTGATTTTAAGAGGTGTAAAAGATTTTTGGTACAAAACACAATCTCATTTTTTACCTCAGGAGTATTTATTTTAATTATCAATCTTAAAATAAAAGCACACACACATTTTATTTTTTTGCGAAAGAAATTTAAAAATGGAAATTACAGCCTCAAAGATACACTTTGTTCTGGCCGTCCAGTAAATTCGATGATTACTGATTGAGCCAAAAGAAAATTTATAATAATTCATGGCAAACGTTAAGGAAACTGGTAGAGAAATTAAAACTTCTTCCACACTTCGCAACTTTTTTCAAAAATGTAGAAAAAACTTAATTGTCACTCCAACAAGTCAAATTACCAAATTTTTAAAAAAGAATAAATTTTTTAATCCCTTCCCTCTCGCTCCAGTCAAAATCACGGGTTGAGCTTTCGTCTCCTATTTCTCGCGCTCGTGATATTTCCGGGCTAGAGTGTCCAAAAGAAAAGCACCAAAAAGGTTTAAATAAATCTACACTTTGTACCTGGATATTTTTTATTACTTATTTTACACACTAGATGGCTGCTCCAGACTGTTTTTAATGTAACTCGAGATAGTTTATTTTAAACTAGATATCAGCACGATCCAAATATATGTAATTGTGTTATGTATTTTGTACTCTTAGCTCAGGTACTTATGCTCTTCTGTAAATACTCGTGCTTTATGTTCTGAAATAAAATATAGTAGTTTTAAATTTCAAACTAAAAAAAAAATCCAAAAATTAAAAATGAATGCGTATATTGTGCATACACATTTTTTTATATAATTTTCTTGAATAAAAAATAGTCACTTTCATGATTCGCGAATTTCTCGAAATTCGCGAATTTCTCGCATTTTGAAAAAAATTTCTCATTGCGCCATTTAGAATAAAATCCGTTACATTTTTCTTCCTGGATCTTTCATTATTTTCAACATTTGCCCCATTATCTAGCCTCCGTATTTACGAGTATTGTTCAGAACCTTTAAGAACAACAGAACACCATCCCTCCGAACCATGAAACCTCTTTCAGAACGCATTTCTCTGCAACCACGTGTTTACCGTAGGTAAGGTTTCTCCATGTAAGAAGTTCAAATTTTTTGCGCATTAATGTAAGATGGACAAATACCTTGTAAAAGCAATATCTTCTACTCCAAAACGGATTAATGAAAATGAAACAAATGTGGATAGAAACGATCAAAACGAAACAAATACGCATTTGAGCAACCTAATGAGAATAGCTGATGAAAAAGTAGATGTAGAACATTTTCCTTATGATGATGCAGCAAAAATATTCAATGCTTTAAAAATTGGAAGATGTTAAAAATGTATTATAATTTAAGAAATGATATTTTTTTCAAGTCTCTTTTTTTTTTTTTTTTTAATTTTTAGAAATCTTACTTAACTTTTTGAAATCTCACCCTCTTCATGAGAAAGGGTGAGAAATTCTCACCCATTTTTTCTTCTGTGAAGAAAACACTGCATCTAGTAGTAATTGTTCTTCCCCAAAACGTTAAAGTGAACCTTATTTCTGAAGAAATGAGATTTAACTGAGTCTTGATGCCAAAAACATCCCCATCTTATGTAGTCAAAATATACATATTTAAAATTTTACACCACTGTGGTGACCGAAATGACTAATTCTGTAATCTTGCAGCATGATTATCACAAGCATTTTCATGCACGTGGAAATAAAAATGAAACCAATAATAAGTACTTAAATAAAAGACAGAATTTTTATTTATACACATCATTATAAAAATTACAATATAATTTAAATTGGTGAAATTTTTAAATGACTTTGTTTCTTTATACACAACGCACACTACAGACTTTCATCAGTAGAACACTTCTTGGAGGAAAGCAGCATATATCGGTATGTCTTCCGTAACTTCGACCGCCGAGAAACCGCTGATATTTGCTGAATTGAGTGCTTCAAGCGAGGCTATCAAAGCTTCAAAGAGTAATTGAAGCATACCGACGTCCGGCTTACCACCTGCCACTCCAGAACGTACTTGAGAAACCATTGTTGAAAGTTCATTGAAAAACATGTTGTAATCAACGTTACCATCAGATGCATCCACACCAGCTTGAATGGCTCTCAGTAGAGTAGTTATTGCTTGCTGAGACTGAGGAAGGGATACTTCCTGGAGTGCTGTCCTTGCTTTCCTGAGGGTACCAGCTGCATCAGTATCGCAAGTACCTCCCCCTAAGTTTCTGGGCGTGAAGAATGGGCTTCCTAACTTCAAGTTACCACCTAGGATATTTCCGCCTGGCTTGGTTCCTCCCAGGTCATTAGATGCTGGGAAAGGAGATGGCGCTTGCATGTCGTAATCGTCACCTTGCGTGTAATCAAAGTTGGAGTATTTACAGAAACTTTGTAATTGACCGTTCAAGCCGGGGAAATCAAAGTTTCCATCAGTGCCTGGAATATTCTGGATCAGTTGAAGCAGTTGAGGTAGGTAGAATACACCTCCGAATTGCTGACCGTCGTCGTCAGGTTGTTGGAAATCTGGGAACCCGTCATTGAGAAGACTTAGACTGTCCATTGTTCCTGTAAATCCTGGTAGATAGAAATTACCATCAGGACCTTGCAGGTGACTTTGAGGAATGGAATTTGGATCGATGGTGCCTCCTGGGAAAACTGATTGTAAGATAGTCACTACACTAGAGTAACTTACTGAACCCTCTATGATTTCGGTTATTCCTGAAGGGAACTGACTGGGTTCTAATATACCTCCCGGTTGATGTTTATTATTCAAATATTTTGGGAACACGAAAGATATGCCAAAACCTGGTTGTCCTGGTTGTTGTGGTCGATTATTTTGTGGCAGTCCGAAAGGATACTGAGGTAATGTTAATGATGTAAGTTGACCTTTTGGATTAGTCTTTCCTCCTGGAGTAGTTCCAGGACCAGCGACAAGTATTTGGATTGGTCTGCCATCTGGACCTTTAATGCTACCCGGAGTAACTGGTTCATCTTGAGGCAAAATGATTTCAACAATGAATCCATCTGAGCCTGTTACAATTTCTGTAGTGGTTCCTGGAACAATTTGAATTGGTTGACCATTAGGATTCATAAGTCCTCCACTCGGTGGTAACGGTGGGCCGAAAGGATACTTAGGTAGAATAAGTTCGATTATGTATCCATTTTGATCAGTTTTAGCACCTGGAGTAGTACCTGGTCCAGCTGGAACAAGTCTAATTGGTCGACCTCCGGGACCTTTGATAGAACCTGGTGTAATAGGTTCATCTGCAGGTAAAACTATTTCTATCACACTACCATCTGGCCCAGTTACGAAACCAGCAGTTGATCCCGGGACTATTCTTATCGGAGAACCATCAGGTTGAGTGAAACCTCCTCCAGATGGTGAAGCAGGCGTTGTTCCGAATGGGTACACTGGTAGAATGATTTCCGTTATTCTGCCATTTGGCCCAATCTTTGCTCCGGGAGTTGTTCCAGGTCCAGCTGGTATTATTTTGATAGGTTGCCCATTCGGCCCTTCAATTGATCCAGGGGTAACGGGGGATCCATATGGAATGACGATTTCAATAATAAAACCATCGGAACCAGTAACAGCGTGCGGTTGGGTACCTGGACTGCCAGGAACAATTTGAATAGGTTGACCATTCGCTCCTTGAACTGGTGCTGGAGTACTTCCAGAACCAGGTGTAGTTGGTCTTCTTGGGATATATATAATTTGAATACTACCATCGGGGCCTGTTTTAGCTCCAGGTGTCGAACCTTGTCCAACAGGGATCACTTTAATGGGTTGACCATCTGGTCCTTCAACTGAACCAGGAGTCGTTCCAGATCCTTCAGGCAATACAATGTAAATTATATAACCATCTGGTCCTGTGACTGAGCCAGGAGTTTGTCCTGGTCTACTTGGAATAAGATATATAATTCTACCATCTGGTCCCGTAACTTGAGATGGTGTACTTCCACCAGGACTACTTGGCTGTCCAGATATAAATATTATTTCTATGGTACCATCAGGTCCAGTTTTTGTTCCTGGGGTTGTACCAGGACCAACTGGAATGATTTTTATTGGTTTACCTCCTGGTCCTTTTACGGAGCCTGGAGTTGTTCCGGAACCTGGGGGTAAAATAATATAAATAATTACACCATCAGGTCCTGTAACAGCACCGGGTGTGCTACCAGGCTGCATAGGTATAAGTGCAATCGGTCTTCCTCCTGGCCCATCAACCTCTGATGGTGTACTTCCACCACCCGGCGAAGCAGGAATGAAAATAATTTCAATGACTCCATCGGGACCCGTTTTAGCACCAGGTGTGGTACCTGGTCCAACTGGGATCAATTTAATTGGTTTTCCACCCGGTCCTTCAACTGAACCTGGTGTTGTTCCAGATCCTCGTGGCAATATGATGTAAATTATGTAACCATCTGGTCCTGTTACTGCACCCGGGGTTTGTCCAGGGCGACTTGGTATCAAATAAATTGGTCTTCCTCCTGGTCCTTCAACTTGAGATGGTGTACTTCCACCAGGACTGCTTGGTTGTCCTGATATAAATATTATTTCTATGGTACCATCGGGACCAGTTTTTGTTCCAGGTGTTGTACCAGGTCCAACAGGAACTATTTTTATTGGTTTACCTCCTGGTCCTTCCACAGATCCCGGAGTTGTTCCTGATCCTCTTGGTAAAATAATGTAAATAATAGAACCATCTGGTCCCGTAACAGCACCAGGTGTGCTACCAGGTTGTAAGGGTATAAGTTGAATCGGTCTTCCTCCTGGACCATCAACCTGAGACGGGGTACTTCCACCACTAGGAGATGCTGGGATGAATATAATTTCAATGACTCCATCGGGACCCGTTTTCGCTCCAGGTGTGGTACCTGGTCCAACTGGGATCAATTTAATTGGTTTTCCACCCGGTCCTTCAACTGAACCTGGTGTTGTTCCAGATCCTCGTGGCAATATGATGTAAATTATGTAACCATCTGGTCCTGTTACTGCACCCGGGGTTTGTCCAGGGCGACTTGGTATCAAATAAATTGGTCTTCCTCCTGGTCCTTCAACTTGAGATGGTGTACTTCCACCAGGACTGCTTGGCTGTCCTGATATAAATATTATTTCTATGGTACCATCGGGACCAGTTTTTGTTCCAGGTGTTGTACCAGGTCCAACAGGAACTATTTTTATTGGTTTACCTCCTGGTCCTTCTACAGATCCCGGAGTTGTTCCTGATCCTCTTGGTAAAATAATGTAAATAATGGAACCATCTGGTCCCGTAACAGCACCAGGTGTGCTTCCAGGTTGTAAGGGTATAAGTTGAATCGGTCTTCCTCCTGGACCATTAACCTGAGACGGGGTACTTCCACCACTAGGAGATGCTGGGATGAATATAATTTCAATGACTCCATCGGGACCCGTTTTCGCTCCAGGTGTGGTACCTGGTCCAACTGGGATCAATTTAATTGGTTTTCCACCCGGTCCTTCAACTGAACCTGGTGTAGTTCCAGATCCTCGTGGCAATATGATGTAAATTATGTAACCATCTGGTCCTGTAACTGCACCCGGAGTTTGTCCAGGGCGACTTGGTATCAAATAAATCGGTCTTCCTCCTGGTCCTTCAACTTGGGATGGTGTACTTCCACCAGGACTGCTTGGCTGTCCTGATATAAATATTATATCTATTGTACCATCAGGGCCAGTTTTTGCTCCAGGTGTTGTACCAGGTCCAACAGGAACTATTTTTATTGGTTTACCTCCTGGTCCTTCTACAGATCCCGGAGTTGTTCCTGATCCACTAGGCAAAATAATGTATATTATAGAACCGTCAGGTCCCGTAACAGCACCAGGTGTGCTTCCAGGCTGTAAGGGTAAAAGTTGAATAGGTCTTCCGCCTGGTCCTTCAACCTGAGATGGCGTACTACCACCACCAGGAGATGATGGAATGAATATAATTTCAATGACTCCATCAGGACCTGTCTTGGTTCCAGGAGTAGTACCCGGTCCTACTGGGATCAATTTAATTGGTTTTCCACCTGGTCCTTCAACTGAACCCGGTGTAGTTCCAGAGCCCTGAGGCAATATAACGTAAATTATGTAACCATCTGGCCCTGTAACTGCACCTGGAGTTTGTCCCGGACGACTTGGTATAAGATAAATAGGTCTTCCACCTGGACCTTTAACTTCAGATGGTGTAGTACCACTTGGACGGCTTTGTTCTTGAGGTATAAATATTATTTGTATACTACCATCAGGACCAGTTTTTGCTCCTGGAGTTGTGCCTGGTCCAGCTGGAACTATTTTAATCGGCTTACCTCCAGGTCCCTCTATTGACCCAGGAGTTGTTCCTGATCCACTAGGCAAAATAATGTATATAATAGAACCATCTGGTCGTGTAACCGCACCTGGTGTAGTTCCTGGACCTTGTGGAATAAGTTGAATTGGCAGTCCTCCCGGTCCTTTAATCTGTGATGGCGTGCTTCCACTTGGAGTGCTTCGAGATTGTGGAATAAATATAATTTGAATGCTTCCATCGGGACCCGTCTGAGCTCCTGGTGTGGAACCAGGACCAACTGGAACCAGTCTGATTGGTTTACCATCTGGACCTTCTACTGATCCGGGAGTTGAACCGGATCCACTTGGTAATATTATGTATATTGGATACCCATCAGGTCCTGTTACTGTTCCTGGAGTTTGGCCTGGTCTCCTTGGAATGAGCTGTATTGGTCTACCACCAGGACCAATTACTTGAGAAGGTGTGCTACCATCTGGTCTTGTTGTTGGATGCGATGGTATATATATAATTTGAATGCTGCCATCCGGTCCAGTTTCTGCACCTGGTGTTGTACCTGGCCCTGCAGGAAGAATTTTTATGGGTTTACCATCTGGCCCTTCTACTGAGCCTGGAGTTGTGCCAGAACCTTCCGGTAGAATTATGTATATTATAACACCATCTGGTCCGGTTACGGCACCGGGTGTACTTCCAGGTCGCATAGGAATAAGTTGGATTGGGTTTCCTCCTGGTCCAGTAACTTGCGAAGGAGTGCTTCCGCTTGGAGTGCTTCCAGACTGTGGAATGAAAATTATTTGAATACTTCCATCTGGTCTCGTCTTTGCGCCGGGTGTGCTGCCTGGACCAACTGGTACAACTTTAATAGGCTGTCCGTCTGGTCCTTCGAAAGAGCCTGGTGTCGAACCTGATCCTGAAGGCAATATGAAGTAAATAGGGAAACCATCAGGTCCTGTAACTGCGCCAGGAGTTTGTCCTGGTCTGCTTGGGATGAGTTGTATCGGTCTTCCACCAGGACCTGTAATTTGAGAGGGTGTACTACCATCATGTCTGGTTCTTGGATGTGACGGTATGTATATAATTCGGATGCTGCCATCAGGTCCCGTTTCAGCACCTGGTGTTGTACCTGGCCCAGCTGGAAGTATTTTTATGGGTTTACCATCAGGCCCTTCTACAGATCCCGGAGTTGTTCCTGATCCACTAGGCAAAATAATATATATTATAGAACCGTCAGGTCCCGTAACAGCACCAGGTGTACTTCCAGGTCGCATTGGAATAAGTTGGATTGGGCTTCCTCCTGGTCCAGTAACTTGCGAAGGAGTGCTTCCGCTTGGAGTGCTGCCAGACTGCGGAATGAAAATTATTTGAATACTTCCATCAGGTCTCGTCTTTGCTCCGGGCGTGCTGCCTGGACCAACTGGTACAACTTTAATAGGCTGTCCGTCTGGTCCTTCGAAAGAGCCTGGTGTCGAACCTGATCCTGAAGGCAATATGAAGTAAATAGGGTAACCATCAGGTCCGGTAACTACGCCAGGAGTTTGTCCTGGTCTGCTTGGGATCAGTTGTATATGTCTTCCACCAGGACCTGTAACTTGAGAGGGTGTACTACCATCGCGTCTGGTTCTTGGATGTGACGGTATGTATATAATTCGGATGCTGCCATCAGGTCCCGTTTCAGCACCTGGTGTTGTACCTGGCCCAGCTGGAAGTATTTTTATGGGTTTACCATCAGGCCCTTCTACAGATCCCGGAGTTGTTCCTGATCCACTAGGCAAAATAATATATATTATAGAACCGTCAGGTCCCGTAACAGCACCAGGTGTACTTCCAGGTCGCATTGGAATAAGTTGGATTGGGCTTCCTCCTGGTCCAGTAACTTGCGAAGGAGTGCTTCCGCTTGGAGTGCTGCCAGACTGTGGAATGAAAATTATTTGAATACTACCATCAGGTCTCGTCTTTGCTCCAGGTGTGCTACCTGGACCAACTGGTACAACTTTAATAGGCTGCCCGTCTGGTCCTTCGAAAGAGCCTGGTGTCGAACCTGATCCTGAAGGCAATATGAAGTAAATAGGGTAACCATCAGGCCCTGTAACTGCGCCAGGAGTTTGCCCTGGTCTGCTTGGGATGAGTTGTATCGGTCTTCCACCAGGACCTGTAACTTGAGAGGGTGTACTACCATCACGTCTAGTTCTTGGATGTGACGGTATGTATATAATTCGGATGCTGCCATCAGGTCCCGTTTCAGCACCTGGTGTTGTACCTGGCCCTGCTGGAAGTATTTTTATGGGTTTACCATCAGGCCCTTCTACTGATCCGGGTGTTGTTCCTGATCCACTTGGTAATATTATGTATATAGGATAACCATCTGAACCAGTAACTGTGCCAGGCGTACTTCCAGGTCGCAATGGAATAAGTTGGATTGGTCTTCCTCCTGGACCAGTAACTTGAGAAGGAGTGCTAGGACCAGGAGCTATATCAGAACCACCGGGAGTTGTACCACCTTGGCTCTTAACACCAGAACTTGTTATAGGTTCACCATCTGGTCCTTGAGGAGTAGATGATGTTTGTGGAACATAAATGATACTAATGCTACCGTCTGGTCCAGTCTTAACTCCTGGTGTGGTTCCCGGTTGAATTGGTATAACCTTGATAGGCTCTCCATTGGGTCCTTCAATTGTTCCCGGTGTACTTCCAGCACCTTCAGGCAATACTATTGTAATAGGTTGTCCATCAGGCCCGGTTTTTACTCCAGGAGTACTGCCTCCCGATCCAGGTATCAACTGAATTGGCTCGCCACCTGGTCCAGATATTGGGCTCAATGTAACCACTATAGGTTGTCTTGGCGTCTTTCTACCAGTCGGAGTAGACGAAGACTGCGGAACGTAGATTATGCTAATGCTACCATCTGGTCCAGTCTTAACTCCTGGTGTGGTTCCCGGTTGAATTGGTATAACCTTGATAGGCTCTCCATTGGGTCCTTCAATGGTTCCGGGTGTACTTCCAGCACCTTCAGGCAATACTATTGTAATAGGTTGTCCATCAGGACCGGTTTTTACTCCAGGAGTACTGCCTCCTGATCCAGGTATCAACTGAATTGGTTCACCACCTGGTCCAGAGATTGGGCTCAATGTAACCACTATAGGTTGGCTAGGTGTAGATTGATCACTTGGACTGGGTCCTGGTGCATTGCTAGAGCCTCCTGGTGTCGTTCCTCCTTGTCCCTTTGATCCAGAACTTGTAACTGTAGTTCCACTTGGTGTTGTACCGTGGGATTGTGGAATAAATATAATTTTAATACTGCCATCAGGTCGTGTCTTAACTCCAGGTGTTGTACCCGGTCCTGCCGGTATTACTTTGATTGGTTGTCCATCTGGTCCTTCGAACGAGCCGGGTGTACTTCCCGCACCTGAAGGTAATATTATATAAATTGGATATCCATCAGGTCCAGTAACAGTGCCTGGAGTTTGTCCTGGTCTGCTAGGAATGAGTTGTATCGGTCTTCCACCAGGACCTGTAACCTGAGAAGGCGTACTGCCATCTGGTCTAGTTTTGGGATGCGACGGTATGTATATAATTCTGATGTTGCCGTCAGGGCCCGTTTCTGCACCTGGTGTTGTTCCTGGTCCAGCCGGCATTATTTTGATTGGTTGCCCATCTGGCCCTTCAATGGAGCCTGGAGTTGTTCCAGAACCATTTGGTAGAATTATGTATATTACAGATCCATCTGGTCCCGTTACGGCGCCTGGTGTACTACCTGGAGATAGTGGGATCAGCTGAATCGGTCTTCCTCCGGGACCTGTTACTTGTGATGGTGTACTTCCACTTGGAGTACTTCCAGATTGTGGAATGAAAATTATCTTAATACTTCCGTCTGGTCTTGTTTCAGCTCCAGGTGTAGTTCCAGGGCCAACTGGCACCACCTTGATTGGCTGACCATCTGGTCCTTCAAAAGAGCCTGGCGTGCTTCCTGATCCCGAGGGTAATATAATGTAAATTGGATAACCATCAGGTCCTGTTACTGTACCTGGAGTTTGTCCTGGTCTGCTAGGAATGAGTTGTATCGGTCTTCCCCCAGGCCCTGTAACTTGAGAGGGTGTACTACCGTCCGGTCTTGTTCTTGGATGGGATGGGATGTATATAATTCTAATACTGCCATCAGGTCCCGTCTCAGCACCTGGTGTAGTACCCTTTCCAGCTGGCATTATTTTGATAGGCTGTCCATCTGGCCCTTCAACAGAGCCTGGAGTTGTTCCAGAACCATTTGGTAGAATTATGTATATTATACGACCATCTGGTATTATAACTCCATCTGGACCTGTAACTGCCCCTGGTGTACTACCTGGGGATAGTGGGATGAGTTGTATTGGCCTTCCTCCTGGACCAGTGACTTGTGATGGGGTGCTTCCGCTTGGAGTGCTTCCAGATTGGGGAATGAAAATGATCTTAATACTGCCATCCGGTCTCGTTTCTGCTCCTGGTGTAGTTCCAGGACCAACTGGCACCACCTTTATTGGTTGTCCATCTGGACCTTCAAAAGAACCTGGTGTTGAACCCGATCCTGAAGGCAATATGATGTAAATAGGATAGCCATCAGGTCCTGTAACTGCGCCTGGGGTTTGTCCTGGTTTGCCTGGAATAAGTTGTATGGGTCTTCCACCTGGCCCTGTAACATGCGAAGGTGTACTACCGTCCGGTCTGGTTCTTGGATGTGATGGTATGTATATTATTCTAATACTGCCATCAGGTCCCGTCTCAGCACCTGGTGTAGTACCTGGTCCAGCTGGCATTATTTTGATAGGCTGTCCATCTGGCCCTTCAACGGAGCCTGGAGTTGTTCCAGAACCATTCGGAAGAATTATGTATATTATACGACCATCTGGACCTGTAACTGCGCCTGGTGTGCTACCTGGTGACAGAGGAATGAGCTGAATCGGACTTCCTCCAGGACCTGTAACCTGTGACGGTGTACTTCCACTAGGCGTACTTGGTCCCGGTGCATTGCTGGAGCCACTTGGCGTAGTTCCTCCTTGTCCCTTGGATCCAGAACTTGTAACTGTAGTTCCACTTGGTGTTGTACCTTGGGATTGTGGAATATATATAATTTTAATACTACCATCGGGGCGAGTCTTAACTCCAGGTGTTGTACCAGGCCCGGCTGGTATAACTTTTATTGGTTGTCCATCTGGTCCTTCAAATGAGCCGGGTGTGCTTCCTGATCCAGAAGGTAATATGATGTAAATTGGGTAGCCATCAGGTCCTGTAACAGTACCTGGAGTTTGTCCTGGTCTGCCTGGAATGAGTTGTATTGGTCTTCCACCTGGTCCCGTAACCTGCGAAGGTGTACTACCGTCCGGTCTAGTTCTTGGATGTGATGGTATGTATATTATTCTAATACTACCATCAGGTCCCGTCTCAGCACCTGGTGTAGTACCTGGACCTGCTGGTATTATTTTGATAGGCTGTCCATCTGGCCCTTCAACGGAGCCTGGAGTTGTCCCAGAACCGTTCGGTAGAATAATGTATATTATAACTCCATCTGGACCTGTAACTGCGCCTGGTGTACTACCTGGGGATAGAGGGATCAATTGAATCGGCCTTCCACCTGGACCCGTAATTTGCGATGGTGTGCTTGAAGGTTTAGGCTGTGGTATATATATGATCTGGATACTGCCATCAGGTCCTGTTTTTGCTCCCGGTGTTGTTCCAGGTCCTGCAGGAACTATTTTTATTGGTCTTCCATCAGGTCCTTCGACTGAGCCTGGAGTTGAACCTGAACCGGATGGTAATATTATGTAAATTATATAACCATCAGGTCCCGTGACTGTTCCTGGAGTTTGTCCAGGTCTACTTGGGATGAGCTGTATTGGTCTTCCTCCTGGTCCAGTTACCTGAGAAGGTGTACTACCATCTGGTCTAGTTCTTGGTTGTGATGGTATGTATATAATTCGGATGCTGCCATCTGGTCCCGTCTCAGCACCTGGTGTAGTACCTGGTCCAGCTGGCATTATTTTGATAGGCTGCCCATCTGGCCCTTCAACGGAGCCTGGAGTTGTCCCAGAACCTCTCGGTAGAATAATGTATATTATAACACCATCTGGACCTGTAACTGCGCCTGGAGTGCTGCCAGGTCCTTGAGGAATAAGTTGAATCGGCCTTCCACCTGGACCTGTAATTTGCGATGGTGTGCTGGAAGGTTTAGGCTGTGGTATATATATGATCTGGATACTGCCATCAGGTCCTGTTTTTGCTCCCGGTGTAGTACCAGGTCCTGCAGGAACTATTTTTATTGGTCTTCCATCAGGTCCTTCGACTGAGCCTGGAGTTGAACCTGAACCGGATGGTAATATTATGTAAATTATATAACCATCAGGTCCCGTAACTGTTCCTGGAGTTTGTCCAGGTCTACTTGGGATGAGTTGTATTGGTCTTCCTCCTGGTCCAGTTACCTGAGAAGGCGTACTACCATCCGGTCTAGTTCTTGGATGTGATGGTATGTATATAATTCGGATGTTGCCATCAGGTCCCGTCTCAGCACCTGGTGTAGTACCTGGTCCAGCTGGCATTATTTTGATAGGTTGTCCATCTGGCCCTTCAACGGAGCCTGGAGTTGTCCCAGAACCTCTCGGCAGAATAATATATATTATAACGCCATCTGGACCTGTAACTGCGCCTGGAGTACTGCCAGGTCCTTGAGGAATAAGTTGAATTGGCCTTCCACCTGGACCTGTAATTTGCGAAGGTGTGCTTCCAGTTGGTGTACTTTCTGATTGCGGAATGAAAATAATTTCAATCGTACCATCAGGGCCAGTTTTAGCACCTGGGGTTGTTCCTGGTCCTACAGGCATAATTTTAATCGGTTTTCCATCTGGTCCTTCAACTGAACCTGGTGTACTTCCTGATCCTGAAGGTAATATTATATAGATCGGATAGCCATCAGGTCCGGTAACTGTACCGGGTGTTTGTCCTGGTCGTCTTGGTATAAGTTGAATTGGTCTTCCTCCAGGTCCTGTAATTTGAGATGGTGTGCTACCGTCTCTTCTTGTGGTTGGGTACTGTGGTATATAAATGATTTCGATTGTACCATCCGGTCCAGTTTCTGCACCTGGTGTTGTACCCGGTTTTGCTGGAAGAATTTTAATTGGCTTTCCTCCTGGACCTTCAACTGAACCAGGTGTTGTTCCAGAACCTTTCGGTAGAATAATGTATATTATAGTACCGTCTGGGCCGGTTACCGCTCCGGGTGTTGTCCCTGGCCCTTGTGGTATTAATTGTATAGGGTTTCCTCCAGGTCCTGTTACTTGAGAGGGTGTGCTGCTTTTTGGAGTTTGAGGAATGTATATTACATCTATGTTGCCATCAGGACCAGTTTTTGCACCTGGTGTTGAACCTGGGCCTACAGGCATTATTCTTATTGGGTGTCCATTAGGTCCTTCGACGGAACCTGGTGTGGTTCCTGACCCTGTTGGTAAGATAATGTATATAATATAGCCATCTGGTCCAGTAACTGCTCCTGGAGTTTGTCCTGGTCTGCTTGGTATAAGTTGGATGGGTCTTCCACCTGGACCTGTTATATGAGAGGGAGTACTACCATCACGTCTTGTGGTTGGATGTTGTGGTATAAAAATGATTTGAATGTTACCATCTGGACCGGTTTTAGCTCCTGGAGTTGTGCCTGGTCCGGCTGGTAATATTTTGATCGGCTTTCCACCTGGTCCTTCAACAGACCCAGGAGTTGTTCCAGAACCTCGAGGTAGAATTATATATATTATAGTTCCATCTTTCCTGGTTACGGTCCCTGGAGTTGTTCCTGGACCTTGAGGAATGAGTTGGATAGGTTTTCCTCCTGGTCCTGTAATTTGTGAAGGTGTGCTAGGACCGGGAGCCTCACCCGATTCTCCTGGAGTCGTTCCTCCTTGTCCCTTGGATCCCGAACTAGTAACTGTTGTTCCTGGTCCAATTGGGAAAGATGGGAGATATATTACTTTAATACTTCCGTCTGGGTTTTGTTCTACTCCAGGAGTTGTTCCTGGGCCAGCTGGTCCAATTTTTATCGGCCTACCACCCGGTCCTGGAATTGTTCCAGGTGTTGATTGAGCTCCACGAGGGAATACAATCTTAATTATGCTTCCATCTGGTCCAGTAACAGTTCCAGGAGTTGATCCTGGTCCTTCTGGAACAATCTGAATTGGACCACTTCCTCCACCTCCGGGCTTAATTGGTATTATGGGTTTATCGAAGGGATTTTTGGGTAAGTGTATTTCTATCACATTTCCATCTGGGCCTAATTTTACTCCTGGTGTCGTACCCTTTTGATATGGGAAAATTTTAATTGGTCTACCATCAGGTCCTTTAATAGTACCTGGTGTTTTTTCTCCATTTTGAGGTAATATAATTCTTATAATGTTTCCAGATGTATCTGTTACTGCTCCAGGTGTAGTTCCTGGTCCGGCTGGTATTATAGATATTGACGCTCCTTTTTTATCCGTAACTTGTTTTGGAGTCGTAGCTTCTCCTCCTTCAGGTTTCCTATTTGGATTAGGTAATACAATTTCAATGATATTTCCATCAGGTCCTGTTTTAGAGCCAGGTGTGGTTCCTGGACCTGCTACCACTATGTGAATCGGATGGCCATTTGGTCCCGGTACTGTTCCTGGGGTGGTACCTGATCCTACTGGAAGAATTATTTTTATTATGCGACCACTGGCGTCTGTGACTGCACCAGGAGAGGTACCAGGTTTCGCTGGTATAATTTGAATCGGTCGACCATCTGGACCTTCAACGCTTCCCGGGGTGTTACCTGGGCCATATGGTCCATCATCTTTTGGACCTGGAGCATTATTGTCTGAAGATGGAAATTGGGGTACGAAAATGATTTTAATTGAGCCATCTGGTCGAGTAACAACTCCGGGAGTGGTACCTGGACCAAGTGGTTGTATCTTTATCGGCCTTCCTCCTGGTCCATCTATAGAACCTGGTGTTCTATCAGCTCCAGAAGGTAATATAATTCTTATAACGTGTCCGTCAGAATCAGTTATTACTCCGGGTGTTGTACCTGGTCCCCCTGGAATCAATTGTATCGGTCTGCCACCATCTGGATTTGGAACACTCTTCGGTGTAGTCTCCGAGGATGGTTCGTCCCCAGGTACAGGGAAAACAGGAATTATGATTTTCTTAATTTGTCCATCAGGACCTGTCACAACTCCCGGTGTAGAGCCCGGTTGAACTGTTTCTATTTTTATTGGACGACCTCCAGGTCCTTTTACAGATCCTGGCGTTTTATTAGCACCATTAGGTAGTAATATTCGAACTATATGCCCTTCTTTGTCAGTTACTGTACCCGGTGTGCTTCCTGGTCCTGTTAAAATAATTTGTATTGGTCTTCCATCAGGCCCTTTCACTTCAGCTGGAGTAGAAAATCCGGATGGCAAGTTTTGTGGGAAAAATGGAATAATAATTTTAACTATTTTTCCACCCGGTTTTGTAACTATACCTGGTGTTGTTCCGGGTCCTGGGAACTCAATTCTTATAGGTTTTCCATCCGGACCTGGAATATCTCCAGGCGTAACATCCCCTCCAGCAGGAATTATTATTCTGATTATGTTTCCATATGGTCCAGTTACGACACCCGGTGTCGTGCCCGGTCCTCCTGGAATGATTTGAATCGGTTGACCCTGTGGTCCTGTAATATATGATGGTTCGCTACCTGGTCCAGCAGGGCCTGGTGATGGGAAGCGTGGGAGATATATTTTAACTACATGACCATCTTTTCCAGTTTCCACTCCTGGAGTCGTTCCTGGGCCTGCGGGCTCAATTTGGATTGGTCGACCTCCAGGACCTTTGATAGTTCCAGGAGTTGAAGCGCCACCAGCTGGTAGTATAATTCGGATAATAGTTCCATCTGGTCCTGTAATCGCTCCTGGAGTTGTACCTGGACCTCCTGGAATAATTATAATTGGTCGCCCATTCGGGAATCTCACCATACCTGGTGTTGCTCCTGGTATATCAGGGTATGGTGCTGGGAATTGTGGAATTATTATTTTGATAATTTGTCCACTTGAATCAGTTACGACACCAGGCGTTGATCCTGGACCGACTGGAACTATCTTTATCGGTCTTCCTCCTGGTCCATCGACTGAACCTGGTGTTACATCAGATCCCGCTGGAATAATAATTTGAATTATCCTTCCATGTCTATCCGTTACTGTGCCAGGTGTTGTTCCAGCCCCAGCGGGAATGATTTGAATCGGCCGTCCATTAGGACCTGCAATCTGAACAGGAGTGGTTCCTGGTCCAAACGGATTTTTATATGGGAATTGCGGTATTATAATTTTGATTATTTTGTGAGTGTTAGGATCTGTTATAACTCCTGGTGTTGTTCCTGGTCTCACAGGTATTATCTGAATGGGTTGCCCATCTGGACCTTCAATTGATCCAGGAGTAACGTCAGCTCCTCCGGGAAGAATTATTTTAATGATATTACCTTTTCGATCTGTAACTGTACCTGGAGTTGTTCCGGGGCCTCCAGGTATTATTTGGATTGGTCTTCTGCCTGGAATTCGCAGGAAAGCGGGAGTACTTCCTCCGAATGGACCTGGGGCTGGGAAAATTTCGATAATTATCTCGATTATATAGCCATCTGAGTCAGTTCGTACGCCAGGTGTTGTACCAGGTCCAGCGGGTCTAATTTTTATTGTCCTTCCACCTGGTCCTTTGACAGTTCCTGGTGTTACATCTCCTCCAGCTGGCAGTATTATTCGAATGATATTTCCATAAGGACCGGTTTGAACTCCAGGTGTTGTGCCGGGACCTCCTGGAACTATCTGTATTAGCTCACCTTTCGGACCTTTGACGTAAGAGGGTGTTGTACCAGGTCCAAATGGACCAGGCATGGGTAACAGAGGTATTATAATTGTTATAATGTGACCATCACTGTTTGTAACTGCACCTGGAGTAGATCCTGGACTTTCTGGTTGAATTTTAATTGTTTGTCCATATGGTCCTTCAATACTTCCTGGAGTTACATCAGCACCAGCCGGTAATATAATTCTAATTATGCGGCCATTTGGATCTGTAACCACTCCTGGTGTTGTACCTGGTCCTCCCGGTATTACTGCAATAGGTCTTCCGCCAGGAAGTTTTATCGTTAAAGGAGTACTTCCTTCAATATATGGACCTGGCATGGGGAATTGAGGAATTAATATCTTAATAATATTTCCATCAGAGCCTGTTACTGCTCCTGGAGTAGTGCCTGGCCTAACAGGTTCTATACGGATAGGTCTACCGCCTGGGCCTGGAAGAGATCCTGGTGTTACATCTGCTCCAGCCGGTAAAATAATTTTGACTATATTGCCATCTTTTGCTGTCACGAAGCCTGGTGTTCTGCCTGGACCACCAGGTACTATTAATATCACTTGTCCATGATTACCATTGATTGGGACTGGAGTGAATCCTCCATGGAAGGGATGTCTAATTTTAAATCGTGGTATAATTATTGTGGCTATTTGGCCATCAGATCCTGTAACTACTCCTGGTGTAGTACCTTTTCCAGCTGGTTGAATATATATTTGTCTGTTATTGGGACCTTTAATGTTACCAGGTGTTACATCAGCTCCTGCGGGTAGTATGATTCGCACAATGTTTCCACTTGGCCCTGTAATAGCACCCGGAGTAGTACCAGGTCCTCCAGGAACTATCTGAATGAGCTGGCGACCGGGGCCTTCAACATAACTCGGAGTACTGTGATGAGGTCTCCTTCCTCCCCGAGGGAATGGCGGAATTTTGATAGTGGCGATTTTACCGTCAGAGCCAGTGATGACACCAGGTGACGTACCGGGACGTACAGGAATAATTACTATTTTTCTACCACCTGGTCCATTAACGGATCCAGGAGTAATACCTCCTCCAGCTGGCAGTATTATTCGAATGATGTTTCCATTGTTATCAGTAACAGTACCTGGTGTTCTTCCTGGGCCAGCGGGTACTATTTGAATTCGACGGCCCCCCGGTCCAGTGACAAAAATGACACGACGTCCTGGTTTATTTGGATGTGGGAATGGTTTGGGGTGGGGAAAACTTGGTATAACAATTTTAATTATATAACCATCAGTACCAGTGATAATTCCTGGCGTAACGCCTGGTCCTGCTGGTACTATCTGGATTGTTCTTCCATTAGATCCCGGAATCGTGCCAGGCGTAACATCACCTCCAGAGGGCAAAACAATTTTCACAAGCAATCCATTCGAGTTAGTAACAGTACCTGGTGTCGATCCTGGCCCAGCAATTACAATCTGTACTGGTCTTTGCTCACCATTAGGCCCTGGTAATACAACAAACGTAGGAATTTCAGCTGACGAATATTCTCCAGATCCGTACCCACCCGAGTATTGTTCTGCAGTAATTATTTCTCCCGTGTAGTAATCAGTTGACGAAAACTCGCCAGTATAGTACTCTCCTGTAATATATTCATCTGTTCTGTATGTATAAGAATCAAAAACTCCTGAGTAATACTCACCAGTTATATATGAGTAATAATAGTAAGATTGGTATTCAGCTGACACAGCTTCACCAGTTTCTTCTTCACAGTCATCACTTCCATTGCTTCCAAAAATTCCTGTAATAAAACCAGATATAATTCCTTTCTTTTTCGGAGCACATTTCTTGCTAGCAGCTGCTCCACTTGTATATTCACCGGTGACATATTCTCCTGTCGAGTATTCACCTGTTACATATTCCCCTGTTTCGTATTCACCTGTTGTATATTCTCCAGTTGCATATTCACCTGTTGTATATTCTCCAGTTGCATATTCACCTGTTACATATTCCCCAGTATCGTATTCACCTGTTACATATTCCCCTGTTTCGTATTCACCTGTTGTATATTCTCCAGTTGCATATTCACCTGTTACGTATTCTCCAGTTTCGTATTCGCCTGTTGTATATTCTCCAGTTTCATATTCACCAGTTACATATTCCCCTGTTTGGTATTCACCTGTTACATATTCTCCTGTTTGGTATTCACCTGTTACATATTCAGTCGTTTCGTAGCTGCTGCTGCTTCCGTCACTGCCAAATATTGCGGAGAATATCCCTGCTTCCATATCTCCTCGGGGTCCACCTCTTTTTCCTTTTTCTCCTCCGCCTAAATCATCATCATCGGCTAAATCATCTGGAGCAGCTGCTCTTAAATCGCCGGTTGGACCTTGGTTCGTTCCCGCCACTTCTCCACCAATATCACCTACGTATTCAGGTTCAGGTAGCTCGTCCAAGGGAGCGGCGTCGGTGAGGAAGAATATCTGGATCAGTTTTCTTACTTCCGAGATGAAGAAAGGGTTAGATACTCCTGTGGACATTATAAACGCATGCTTCAATGCATTTATGACGCATCCAGACTTGGGCATCAAGTCACCCGCGTGCACGTCATTGGCAGTCCTTTCAGAGATGGCAGCGGCAAATCCGGCAGCAGCCGCCATCATCGACGTCCGGGACTGGAACTGAAGGTTAGCAAAATCTCCATAAGCGTCCGTGAGAGTATCCAATACCTCCGTGAACTGGTCGGCTTCTTTTATGGTAAACTGTCCGCATGACTTTAAGTAATTCACAAACGAACTTGCAAAGTTCGATCCAGTTTCTCGAGATAGCAAAGGATCATTTTGTGCGATGCCTACTTCCTGGGCATAAATCTTAGTGGGATGAATGTCTATTAGAAAAATAGCGATAATTACATGGGATAACCACCCCATGTTGTGCTCGCAAAACTGTCCAATGAGTTACTGTGGACGCTCCCTTGAAAATGTCGGCTTTTATACGGAGATTCAATTGCCTGATTTCATTACAACGCAACAGATTTTATAGATCTGTACATAATACTTTAATCTTTTCTATAAAGAACTTTACGACCCTCTTCTTCTAATAACTATTTGCATAGCTGTTGTATATCGAAATCAATTTGCTGTTTTCATTACGACCGGCCATAAACATCACATTTATCGTTTTTTAATGGGTATATATCAAATTCAATTGCCTTCTCAAAACAAACACTTGGGGATTGGAATCGATGGAAAAGAACATTATTTTTCCAATAAAAATTGCCATTAGTTCTATTATAAACAATAGTTTACAGCCATGAAGGAAAACTATCATATTTTTCGAATATCTAATTCGAAAAAAGATCTAAAAATACCTTTACAAAATACAATATATTGAGGAATAGGATAATCTTTACATACTACTGTGTTAAGTAATATAAATTATTAATAGATTTTGGTCTGATTAGAGATTAAGGGATTTAATCCGTAAGGAATTAATTTTATTTCAAAAACGTTACTAAATAGTTATAACTCTAACACAATTTCATTTTTTTCTTCTAAAGCAATTTTATTCTTTAAAAAAATAATTGTATCACTCTTTAGCTGTTTTTTGCTTCTCCTTTTTTTTTTAAAAAAAAAAANATAACTCTAACACAATTTCATTTTTTTCTTCTAAAGCAATTTTATTCTTTAAAAAAAATATTGTATCACTCTTTAGCTGTTTTTTGCTTCTCCTTTTTTTTTTAAAAAAAAAAAAGAAACTTTTTCATCATGAGAAGTATTAAATCAATCAGCAAAGCTTAATTTTTCGAATCTTTACTGAACTATCAACTTTAAAATTTTATTGCAACGAATCTAATGAATTTTTTCCATACAAATCTTAGATTATAATAATGAATAAAGTTTGTACATCTTACAATGAACAAAGCATTTAATCAGCATTAAACAAAAAAAATTGCAAATTTTTTTTTTTATTTTTCTACGTGGAATAATTTTTGGATAAATGAGTTCATAAATCGGTGCAAATACCTTTTTGATTCATTTAAGTAGCGTATTCAGTAAAATACGCAAAATCTAATATTAACTATAAAGGTTTTCAATTTTTGTCTAGAGTTTTCTGAATTGGGGGTTCAATATTAGAAAAAAATGGAGTTGAACATTGAAAACCGGAAATCCTGTATGGATCGGATTATCAATGCCAATGTCAAAATAAAAGTTAGAGCGTCATGATTTTTTTGAAGTTTCTGCAAATTTCTGTAACCAATCTGTCTGTTTCGACCTTTTTTTTTTACCTTAGTCTTTTTTAACACAACAGCTTTTATGCTTCAACATTTGTATTCTTTATTTTAATAATATTAGAGCAGTGATTCTCAACCACTGTGCCGCGGCACTTTTGTGTGACGCCAAATATTAGAAATGATACAATAAAAATTATAATACTTTTTTTATTTCGAGTAAAGTTTAAATTAAAGAAAAGTGTATATTATGTATAATATTATGTATACATACATAATATTATATATATATATATATAATAATTTTTCCGGTCTTTAACCGCGAGAAAATCTTTGATTGTCTTGTCTCTGACAATCTTAAAGTAAGTTGAAATAAGGAGGAAGCGTTTAAATTGTCAATGGCAATTTTAAAAATTGTCGAAATAAGTAGAAAACTTAATGGCCATTAAAATTATTAAATAACAAAAGAAAGAAAGAAAACGGAAATAAAAGCTAATCATTAAAGTAAGCTATGCAATTAATAGTTACAAAAGCAAATTAACAAAGGATAACTAACAAAAAAATATGCTAACAATTAAAATTAGCAAAAAAAACTAGTTAACAAGAAATCATAAAAAAATAACAATGTAGAAAAACTAACAGCAAATAACTATAGAAAACAAGCTAACAATTAATAACTAGCAAAAAAATAAATAACTGTTCCCAACTAATAAAAAATTCATCGAAAGAAATAATTAATCCCTTAATAAACGTGCATTTGTAGTACATATTATTTTATTTCACATTCAAAATTATTATCACAAACTATTTAACACAGTGTATTATAGGTAAGTAAACTACTTTTAAACTAGTTTTTTTCATTGTGTGCCGTCAAATTTCGAAATCGTTAAAATTGTGCCGCCACAAAAAAAAGGTTGAGAATCACTGTATTAGAGACTAAACTTCCTGCTCGCTATCACTTGCTGAATCTAGAAATTGTTTCCGCGGTTCTTTACAAATCGCTTCACCAGTTAAGCTCTCCTCCCTCGATCCTTTCACCCATCCCAAATCTGATTGGTTCAAGTTATTCGAATGCATTGATATTCGTTTGCAAAAAGTTGCAATTCAAGGACTTAATTGATATAAAGGTAATTAGAAACTAAAACAAAATACGTCGTATTGTTCATATTTAGACGTAAGAATACGTCGAGCAAAAGATCACATAATATTAACGATAAATTTTTTTTTAGCTAGGCTGACTTAAACGATTTAATATCTTCAATATTGATTTTTTTTTAAAAAAACTAATGGCAGCATAAATAATGTTTTCATATAATGCTCTTCAAACCTTTGACAACTGGCACCTTAAAACCTTAAAACAAACTGACGACAACATTGTTTTTTTTCTCTCACAGGATACTCTCCAATTCATAAACTTATTGAGTGTTATAAGAGTTCACATAGACCGAGATAGTCTGGTTGGTAGGGTGTTGGACCAGTGCCAAATGGGTCGTGAGTTTGATCCCTGCCGGCCGCAGACTATCCGCGTACAAAATGGTGACTGGTGCATGCTAAATCTGTCGAGGTCACAAAGTCTTTCAAGTTCTCATAACAAATCAACGCCTCTGGGGGTACTGGATCGGATTTGTTGTACTCTGGTTTAGGTCAAAATTACGATCTATGGATAGATCAATGGCGTGTGAATGTGTCCTCTCTGTAAAACGGATTTTGGCTTATGTGTGTGACAGAATTTGAATTCTCAGCCATGGATGGCCTCCATCGGGAAATAAGCAGTAGCAGAACCCCCTTTACCTTAAAGTAGGTTTATCAGTATTGACAAGGGGCATAAGGCAACAACAACAACAACGAAAGTTCATGTAAGAATGAACTTCAAGCTTTCTCTAAAAACGTGCAAAATTTCATGCTTTTTTTTTATCTAATAGTTCTTAATCTTATCTTCGAATTGTACAATTCAAAATTTCATTGCCAGAAATATCACATGATCAACAATAACAAATTACAACATAACACTAACATCCCTTACCCTTTCAAGGTAAACATAAACTATCCCTAATACAATGAAACCGAACTAACTAATAAACAATGAACTTTAAACTAATGGGTGCAATGAATCGAAAAACAAATGAACCTAAACTAAAATAATACTACCATTAAAATTTTTTTTAGCTAAACTGACTTAATAAACTTAAAAATATCTCAAATTTTGGCTTAAAATATTTAAGAAACTAATGACAGCATGAATATCATTTTCATATTAGAATATTCTTCTAACCTTTCTCTAAAAACGTGCAAAATTACATGTTTTTTTTTTTAAATCTGTAGAATTGGTGTTACGAGAGTGAGGATTGAGCAGCCAAAATGTTCTAAAACAGAACTGCTGTTACCGGTTAAAATTAATCCCCCACACACACAAGTTTTCTTGTAGCAACATGCATGCAAACGATTCTTTCAAAGTGTTCAATTCAAAAGTTTAATGCCATAAATCAGGGCTGTCCAACTGCAAAGAGCCCACGGGCCAGAATTCCGGTCACTGATCACCTGGCGGGCCGCAGTTTGAAAAAGTTGAACAATAACCTCTTACCTCTTATACGAGGGCTGCTATTTATATTTCTGGCCTTGGCAACAGTAAGTGTTGCTAGGCGACCGCAGACGATTTTAATCGAAAGTTTGACATTTTTAAGCATAAATTCAGCAGAAGATTTACCATTATAGCTTCATTTGCGTTGTTGACAGTAAATTGAAAAGTTCTTCTCTTTCAAAAAATGGAATTGAATAGTGAACATTTTCGTGCCATTATTTTTCATAACTTTCGACGTGGATTGTCAAGACAAGAGTGCTTCGAT